TAAATTTGAACTTAGAGGAAGGTAGCTCATAAAATATATTAACAGGTTAACCATTGTAAAAATATTATTCTTTCAACGCTACAGTTAAAGCTCGTTTACTCTTCTCCAGATGGCAATAGCTGAAGTATAAATTCGGCCGCACTGCTAGTGATGCTGCTAATTACGAACATACCAGAAAAATGTTTCGACCCCATGCGGATGACTGCTTTCAATCCAGGGTTAGTCCATAAGTTGGGAACACAGTACTTTTTCCTATAAAATGACGTGATCACGTTCTGCTCCGGATTATCCCTAGATTCTACTCAGAGTCGACTCGACCATCATCCAATGAAATTCATAAACAAGAGGGAAAACCTTTAAGCAGCAACCGAACCCACACACATCGAAGTCAGAAGACCTTTTCAGAATATACACGCAATAACTGTGACGTCATTCCATGTAAAAAACAATATCAGCTTTGCACGTAAATATTATGTAATCAATGAAGTAGGCGATGTTATTCCCAAGATAACCGCAATAAGAAGGAAACTAAGTAGATTCTGAGGCTAAGTGTTGTTCTGCCGGACGTTCATCACCACGAATAGCTTAGTGGTGTTATATGACCCTATTGACCGCTTTCATTAGTGGTGGACACCACACACACACACACGCATTGGAACAACTAATGAATATCCCTAATCGGAATGTGCGCCGTGGTCTTATTTCCCACTTTGGGAATTCGGGAGATGTCCGGGAATTTAGAAGCAAGGCAGTGATCCAGGATGGAAATCTTGCTTCATTTTTATCTCCTCACTGCGTTATTGTCTACTTTGTAACAGATTACACAGATTTAATGAAAGGAAAACCCTTCTAGTTAGTTTAGCGCCTAAACATCTATACACTGATGAATATCGACTGGCCGTTGTTTGCATTCTTCTTTCGCAAACGTTAAATCTGCTGATTTATAACACCATTGTGGATATAGTTTGTTGCTTCGCCTCTCGAATAGCTGATGCAATGAAAGAATTCTAATCTCAAGGTAGTCAACCACTGTGCATAAAGACCTGTGACTAGTTCTGGTGAAGAATTGCAAAGACTGTGGCACCGCTATCTGGGATTTTCCAGAAAAACTACATTTAACCATGTCAGTGAATAAAAAAGCGATATGCACTGGCTCAATCAAAGAAACACATGAGTTTGACCATTTCTAATCATGTCGGTTACACATCCATTGAAAGAAGAGAAGAAATGATGCGGCAATCATGAAATATGGAAAAGGGCCTCTTAGGTATTCAAATGGGATAGTACAATCATAATCAAAAGACCAAGCGTGACTCGTGAACATCTTCACGAAATAAGCTGCCATTTCCCCCATTTTACCGACTCTTCAAGATTTTTGATCTTGCTCATGTTTTTCGACGTTCATAACATGACAACGAAAAGCAGCATGAACACTGAAAACATTAAAAACGATGCAAAATTCTGGGTAGAAGCTGCATGCCGATTCGAGAAATTTCGAAGGCGAAGAAAGATATCACGATTTCAACACTTCTCAGTGATAAGAAGATAATAAATTGAAACATTAAATAACCGATATATCTACATATGAACTTATCAACTGACCTGCCGAGCTCATGCGAGGTTCATACGAGTTGCTGCTGTTGTGCGATGGCTGACGCTTCAGCAATTTCCTCTTCTTAGAGTCTGCACGTATTTCATGGATTTTTCGAGAAGCTGTTAATCGCGTGATTGCGATTTAGATTTCCATCTTTCTATATGTGTTATCGGAGTATTCCACTTAGTAAACTGCCTATCAATACACCCTTGCATGCTCTGAAGAAGGCGAAATCGGCCGAAAAGTCAGTTTTAACGGAATAAAGAATAAAGTAACACCTCATGTTTGCTTAGCAAGAATGTCGAAAAATATTTGATCAGTGCCGAGGTTAATAGAAAGTAGGTCGTGGGAATTCTGAAATTTATCGAAAACGCCTCAAGGGTCTTGCTCGTTGATGTTTTTTTGACTCCTACGCTAGGATCCGGACAGTCACTTGAAATTTATCTCCATTGTGCTTTTGTGCCCTATGTATACAAAGAGCACTTTGACGGATTTAAACTTTCCCTCTTAGGTGTTCTTTCATGTGGGCACAAAACAGTCTACCCGTTTCACCAATGTTTTCCTCATCGCATACTCATGCACTCCCGTCTCTTCCGTTAGGACGGATTACACAATTTTCTGAGTTGCACAAACGATGATAGAGGCGGTTGAGAGCTAACTTATGGCGTAGGGCGTAGGGTGTAGGGTATAAACATAAAACTTATAACCACAATGATGCTGAGATGTTTGTAAAAACCCGGATCGCAGGTGTCTGCGTTGGGGAACGAGCGCGCTGTTATTCTTTCCTGAGGCCAACGCGTTTATCACCTCAGTTACCCCGGAAGAGGTAATAGTGTGTTCGATCCCCACTACAGACACCTCCGGTGCGGAGTTTTGTAAATATCTCGGTATCATTGCGGTTGTAATACTCTGTCGTGAGAAGTTGTAGTAGGCAAAGAATAAAAAGTGAAAATAAAACCTATACTTCAGATAACAAGTACTGCAGAAACACCCGTAGCATCCAGCAAACGTGAATGACGCCAAGAATAGCGACCTTAGGAAAGAGAGTGCAGTGTGATGCCACTGTGGGACCAGGAAAAGGCGATGACACTGATCAGTCATCCATCTTACTGTAGTACCCCATTCAGCTACGCTATGGCGAAATGAATGAGAGCATAAGGCATAACACTGACCATTAAACGGCATTAAACTTTCGCTTGTTCTACTTTCCGCAACACAACTTACATATTCGAGTGGGTTACGCACCAATCACCAGTCACCTACAGAAATGTGAAATCGCTATCCACAAAGTTAAACAACATTTTCCTTAATTCAGGCCCGAACGGGTTTGCTTCTTGTTCCTCAACCCTAGTGCTCGTTCTCGAGGGTTTATGCGCTAGATTATTCTTCTTCCATCAATTGCTGATGTTACATGCATTTATGAGCGCGTTGGCATCTTCTTCGGTTCCTTACAATCACCTAGTAAACGCTCACACACCCATGTTTGTTTACATGATTCCTACTCTGCTCCTTCTCCTTCAAACTAAAAGCATCAAGTCAGGAGACGGTAAGTGTTTCTATCAGATCATATCATCATCTTTTCCTTAAGGCAGAGTTCCAAATAAAGCAAATCATTTTTTACAAACTTTAAAAGGCAGTAAACAACTTTCCTCAAGTGCCTTACTTTTCTTGATATTTTTGTACTAGTAGCGAAGACATCGACAAGATTATGCCGTGAATTCGAGCGATTTCAATAGAAAAGTTGAGTACAATGCTTATACGGCTCAAATGACTCCCATCTTGAAGGCCTTTGGTGAAGGCCTATACGAAAACTGTGGTACCATGGAAACCTCATCAGAGAATAAATCAAAATCTACTCCTAATTTGTCAGAAGGTGCCGTCAATTATTGTTTAGAAGTGAATAGTCCAGAATACCCTTTGATATCGACGTTATTGCCTCACGGCTTGTCGATAATATTGAAGAAAAACTTAGATGAACACAATCTAATTATCAGAAAGGTCACTAGGTCTATATTCTTAAACTCTTAGAACCATCTATCTCTATTAGACGTTGTCGCTTAGCTGTGTTTAACCACCGAATGCCACTTGTAACTAAGTTCTATATTAAATTCAAGTTAGCGTAACCCAATAGCAGCTATCAACCAAGTTTTGGTGCTAGATATTTAAAGCTTACATCACACAGATAAAATCGCGGTGGTTGAATTTTTACGAAGAGTTTTAGGTACTGAGGAGCGCTGTCGAGAAACCGTCGACCCAGGACCCTGTCAATATTACCAGGTGAAGCAGACGACTAACTAGCATTTAAAAAAACGAAAAAAACGGCACATTATTTAGATATACACATCTTTATTTAGAAGCGCTTTTTCGCTACTGCTTCTAAAAAACGAGTTCGCAGAGGCGAAATCCGATATACTCAACAAGCAGCAAAACCTGAAAAGTATAGTGTGCGTCATAGCAAACGGTGCAGAAAGGCTCAGTCATTGGTGAATCAAAGGCAGAAGAATAGGATGTGTAGATCTTTGGTGAAATCTGGCCGTAAGGTGTACATGTGGCGTCAAGTGAAGCTGGAAGAAGTAAGTGCACCTATAAAAAGGGGAGAGGAGTCGCCTATGCATCGGTTTAGGAAACCACTTTATAAAGGATCCAAGTCAGCCAATCTATCTAGCGATTGAACAGTCCTACTTTTGCTATAATATTCCTCGAAGCGCTTCTGTGATGTTTTCTGAAATTCGACTTACACCAAGCTTAAGCGCACTGATAATTGGAGTTATAAGGGAGTCACCTTCTTTATACAAAGAAAAGAAGGAGAATACACCAGAGGCGTAAAGAGTTTATTACCCAACTGACATCGTCTAGAGCGATAAAGAAAAGAAATGATGCGTTCTTTCTTCAAGGAAGAACGAGATTACAAAGACAGTAGATGCAGAGATGTAGCGGGAAGAACTTGCATTACCATTTAAGTAGTCTTAAAGACAGGAATGTCAAAAAGGCTATATGTAAAAAAAAACTATGATTGCCCCTGGCATACGCTCATAACTCTGCGAAGTGGAAAGATGAGAATTCCAACAAAGGAGCAAATGCCTCAACAAGTATAACGGCCCGCACGTGAAGAATGGTTGTGAACGTCTTGACAAGTTGTAAACTTTATAAAGAAGAAACAGCCTATTGCCTATTGATAAATTACCTATTTTTTTTAGTTTTAAACAAAGCAGATTTTCAGTGAAATTTTACACTGAGTTTCAAGATGAATGAAGGTTACCTCGACTTCCAGGTCACTGTTTCGCTGACTTGATTTTGACTTTGGTGATTGTGGCCATGTTAATTTCCGGTTGGAATTTACCGCAATTTTAAATTTTGCTGTAGGAAAAAAAAGTTGCTAAAAAATACTTTTGTACATTTATTCAAGATGACTGTTCAGACGAAATGGTTTTGGGACGACGCAGACGAAACGTGTAAAGAATTTCATTACGGTGGATGTATGGGAAATAGGAATCGTTTCAATTCGAAACATGAATGTCTGAAGTACTGTCGATACAAAATGTTCAATCCCGTCGCTGTACCAGGTAAAAAGCCTTTTTCCTTTTATTTCGGGGTATGAGTTGTCAAAGGCCCATTTTTGAATGAATCTAAGGCCCACCATAGTAACCGGCGTCGAACATAGTCCCATTGCAGTGCTCGTTGTTTCTACGAGCTCAATATCAGTTTCAAGTTTACACTGCCTACAAATTTTAACCCTCTAGCTTTTGTTGTTGATTAGTTAGAATGAGTGGCTTTTATGAAGAAGAGGATGATGGTTTTTATCCTATTGGCAGACGATGTGATCAAGCGACGAACAATGTTCAGGCTCACTCACTGCGTGAAACAAATGAATCAAATATATCTCATTGCAATCCCTGTCTTCACCGACATGACTCATTAACGAAAAACTATTCCCACTGTAATTTTGTCCACGCCTTACCATTAAAGCAACATATTAAGGATTAATTTTTTTTTTCCTAACAGAGAGAATACAGAGATTTTTTGCTGCAACGTCTATCTTAAAATGATTGCCAAGAACGACTTCCTGTTAACCTCGACATTCGTCGAAAAAACAGCGATTGATACAAATTTTTGCCTGCAACTTTTTTTGCCATTGCTTATTGCAGAAAAAACTGTCTAAAGAAATTCCATCACTTGACCGTTTCTTCGAGAAGAATTCTTATATCTCAGGTTATCAAGCGTGAGAAATTTGGCACACTCCGTTAATAATGTTGATGAAATATTTTTCATTATAACTTACCACCGGTATTAGAATGGATCATATAACAAAAACATGAATGCCTTTAGATTCTTAATAAATCTTTCTTTGTTTTATCTATTATTTTCTGCCCACTACAATTTTCACGGCAGAGTACTGAACGAAATACAACCACAATGTTGCTGAGATATTTGCAAAACTCCGGACTACAGGCTTCTGCGGTGGAGAACGAACGCGCTATTGTCCTTCCCGGGAAGTAACGCGTTCACCATCGCACCATGCGGGTCCTTCGTTTCACCTGCCTCTCAGCTAGTTCTATCGATCTTTTGCCATCAGCAATCACCCGTCAACGGGTTTGATCTGGGGAGCCCAAATCGGCATTGAACCCAGTTAAGTTGAGCCTATAGTTATAATCACAATCCTAACCTTTTTATTTAATGGCAGTGAGAGAGAGACAAGCTGAGAGACAGCGGAAACGAAGGACCCGCATGGTGTGGTGGTGAACGCGTCACTTCCTGGAAAGGATAGTATCGCGTTCGTTTCCCACCCTAGACACCTGTGATGCCGAGTTTTGCAAATTTTTTTTGCTTTGAAAGACATTATTACAAAAGAGGGATCTAAGCCTTCAGAACAAAAGTTTGGCCTATATATATATATGCATGCATGTATATGTATATATATATACATATATATATATATATATTCTTTCAAACTGCCCTTGTTGAGCTTATGAGAGGTTGGTACAGGTTGTCTTGCCATTATCATTGTTGTTGTTGCGGTTCAATGGCTGACGTTTCGGCGACTTTGGTTGCAATGTATTTTATGTAATAACAGCCTTATAATTCGATGAAATATCTATAGTGTTAATTCGCTAATGCAGATGTGACATATGAATGAACGCCACTATGTTGAAAAAAATACTCATCGTGATGCTGCGTTTGGAACCATCCGTTTTTCTCTAATGTGGGATGACGAGTGAGACCTACCTTAGTCAAAAAATCACTTTGAAAAAATCTTGTTTGGGAAATGACCATCCAACTTGTCCTGTCCTGCACCCGATCATTAAGGCACACAAGCTTACTCCTACTGATGATCTTTCATCCAACGACGCGTCATCAGTTATGGTTTGACCAATCACCAGTTGTATGGGCGGGCGAACGGATAAAAAACATGTTTCCTAAGCCCTAATGTGACCCAATTACTGATATTTGTGTCAATTGTGTCAACTCATTTGGCCAATACTAATATTCTTACATCACCTACGGTGTGCACAGCCAAGCAAAACGAATGTAATAACTCCATACTAAGTCGATTTCACTCTATACTAATGTGTCGAATGACTTCACAATGCATGCCGTTCTCGAGCTGCCCGAAGAACATGAATAGAAAATAATTATGTATGGCTTGACAAAGGTTCGTGTAGTGCAGTGGTCAGAGACGCCCTTCAATACTCATAATCGATCCTCACGCCTCTGGCCCACCAAGCCTTTCATCCTCCCGATGTCTTCAAATTGGTACTAGACTTGTTTGGGAGGATAGCAGCGCTGGCTCGACACATCGGTTGGCCACCGAGAGTCACTGCCAAGGTCAGAAGATATGCGTTTAGTCACCTATATCGACGGTTAATGAAGTCGAATGCATGGAGCCTCCCTCTTTCATTGACCAACGCCGAAAGCTCAGTCCTTTTTATCCTTTATGGCTTGTCGATCCAACATCTAACGGTTTTCTTAAAGCAGTGTTCTAGTTTTCTAATCTTAACGTAGTGTGAAAGCTATTTTGCACAAATTAGAGAGTTCGTCATGGGGCAACGATTAGCACCAAGACTTACCATCGTTTTTATGACAAAGGTGGAAGCTCCAGTTCTCCATCACCGGCCCTTCCTCTACTGTCAATTAATAGACGACTGCTTCATCATCTGTTCCACACAAAAACAGGTAAACGTAATAGGTAAATGAATGCCGTGCAGTGTTAAATAAACAGTCGCACTTTGCAAAATTTACGCGAGACAAACCAACCGAGACCTAACATCCATTTTTAAATATCCTAATAAAACTTTTAGAAAGTGGCTAGATAGCAAAGTGGTATCGAAAACCAGATAGCAAAAATAGATTATTATATTTTCCTCTACTCATTCCTCACACATGAAAAGACACTCATCAAGAACACATATCGAAGTGTTTAAAATAAGTGCGCAAAAGAAGGGGTAAGCAAGAAATTCCTAAAGTTGAAACGAAAAATACTCGTTTCCAATGGATTATCAAGCAGACATCAATAGAGTCAAATTAAAAGCTAGCGTTATGCACCAGAACAATGTTTCAAGTCTGTGCAAGATCTCTTTGATGTTATTCTTCATATCAAACGAAATAACTCACGCCGCTAAAAGGTGCTTAAGAAAAGGTGGTCTTGAAAATCATGTGGCGGTTACTGATCTCCCACCTAATGCCCTACGTCATCAATTAGTTCTCAATCGCCTTTATGATCGTTTGTTTAGCTCAGAAAACTGTATGATCTGTCATAACTGGAAAGGAGGACATTGCATGAGTTTAGGTACAATACACTCGATGCAATGTAAGGCATGCAGTGAAGAACACATTAGGGAAACGAGTAGACCACTTTGTGCTTGCATGAAAGGACATCTAGATGGGAAGGTTAAAATTTACCAAAGCACTCCTTTATGTACACCTTGGGCAGAAAAGTGCAACGGTGATTATTTCGAAGTGACTATCAGGATCCCAGTGCAGGATCAGAAACATCAACGTCCAAGACTCTTGAAAGGTTTCGATAAATTTTGAAAGTTCGAAGGTGAACAGAAAGACGAATGCTACGCTATCACGCGTGGCCTAGCTCCTCTTTCCAAAGCGATTTTTTGGTCTGGCTGGGTCTCACTTGCCATCTCACTTGAACAACATACTGGTCGTTTCACATCCCACACGTAAGTGGGTTTCAAACAACACGACTGTTATTTATTTATTAGATCTTCGTTCATCGAATTATAAAGCTGTTGTTGCATGAGATACATTCGAGTTTTGAAGAAGGCGAAGTCGCAGAAACGTCAGCCGACGAACTACAACAACAACAACGACATCAGCAATTTGTTCCAACGTCTAATCGGCTCAACAAGGGAAGTTCGTAAGAATCTATATAAAATATCGATTAGTTGTGCCGAGATTTATAGAAAATCGGTCTTTGAGTTTAGCTTGCAGATTAATCTATTCGTAAATTTTCGATTTACTGCAGCTACATCTTAATCATAGAATGGCCAGATCTGTTCCGCTTATGAAAAATTTGCCTCTCACACTTACTAAATAGTTGACTGACAAAAATCCAGAACTGCAGATTTATGCCTTTTGGAACCAAATCCGGGACACTGTGGTGATGAACGTCATGGACAGTGGTGGTACTATTTCAATTCCGATATGGGCACCTGCGAAAAGGTTAGCGAATCGATTCGTTCCTAAGTTAGAAATTCAGCCTATCTAGTCCGCTTTTTCAGTTTTTCTACTATGGCTGTGGTGGAAACGATAATAAATTCTATAGTCTCCACATGTGTAACAAAGTTTGCGGCGAACGGCTTTCGCCTCAAATAGGTATCCTACTTACTTACATAAATTGCTAGGGTTAATGAAAAACCGTGCGATACTCAGCAAAAGGTCTTTCTTACTGGAGTTCTTAGAACGCCCTGGTGCGCCGACCTAAGGCCAACACCTTCTACAGGTTCTCGCCGACTATCTTGAATTATAATGCAGTTTTCGATTTCTTCCTCTACGATGGCTATTTTTGTCAGTGGGAAAACTTTAGGCCCGGTGGTTCAGAATGAAAGCAACCTCTTTTTGAGCGAGCTAACCCTAGGATGCTTTACCTGACCTACGTCACAGCTTAGTACCCAAGAAAATTGCTTCACAATTCAAACTGCTAAGCTATCGAAGAAAATCTGATAGGTGTTCTTTATAAATTACAGAACTTAGGGTCTCTTCATTGGTGTTTAATTTTTCTTTTTTGGGCTAAAGCTTGTCAACATTGTGATTTACGTACATCGTTCTGCAAGTCGCACAGCAAGTTCAACTACACTTGTGAATGCCGTATCGGCTACGAAAAAAACCAGTACGGAGAATGTGTTGGTAGGTTTTGCTGCATTTTGTTACTGCTTAAAAATGTATATTAACTGACTTTAAAAGCAAGAATCTACCTTGGACCGCTTCCCCTTCATGGTAGTTTTTCTAGGACATACTACAGTTCTTCGGTGAATGAAGTGACCTCACTCCAAATGGCCAAAATGTAGTGAAATGCAAACTTCTGGACAAAATGAAAAATCGATACTTATTTATTTATTACTAAATGAGGCGACATTGCATATATCACACCCTGAAAATCATTTCTTGCATTCCATTCATTTCCTCCCACTCATCGCGTCTCCGGACTTTTTTCATGTGGTTTCTGCTGCTGCTTGATGATTTTTTCCCCTTCGTTACGAATGTTACTAAACGTCCCTAGTGCCGATTGTCCCTGTAATCCTAAAACAGGCGTGCAAGGACGTGAAGTAGATGAATGGCTTTTTTCCCAAATAGGTCTGGTATCAATTTCCTAATCCCGAAACGATGAGAAGCTTGGTGGGCCCGAAGCAGGATCGCGTCAGCGCCTGGGTGGATTAGGCTGTCTAGATAGTGGACTGAAACTTTACCAGTGCCCGCTCCCGCTGCACTGTATTGAAAAATTCCCACCAAATTGGATTGAAAAATCAATAATAAGCGAAAATTACAGGTAGGAAACGGTAATACGAAACAATGTATAAAAGCCGAATCAGATTCCAATTTTGTAGTCTCCATGGTTTAAAACCTGAGAGATTCAAAGAAAATCAACCTAGAAAGCGAGTTAAAGCCCTATTGAAATTCTTCTACAAACTTCAAATCTTGGTTGTAAATTAGAGATATCATAAATATTGATCGACGAATTCGTAGATATTGACGAATGTCGTGGATATACAGCGGTTTGTGATCGTAACGCATGGTGTACGAATACGATTGGCTCCTACCAATGTGAATGCATGGCCGCCTACCGTGGTGATGGCTCACATTGTACCTTTGTTGGGCTCGGTAAGTTTTTCGAATTCCTCCTGGACGTTTACTTTTCCTATTATCAAATAATTCAAAGTTTATCAAATAAAAGAGTGTTTCAACAATTTGGTCTTTTTGAAAAATATCTTCCAGTATATTGTAACGGTAACTCCTGTTTTTCTCAGAACTTCTAATCGCTCGTTCCCCTTTGTTGTTAGCAACACTAATCATTGAAGACAGTCAGTTTCATACGGAGGCTCGTTTGCTACTTGTTGTTTTGTTCTTTTCTCATAGGCGGAATTATTGATGCTGGATAAGAGTGGCCTTTCCAAGCATTCCAAGCCTGTTGTCCTAGGGTGTTAGACGTCTTCATTACCGCGTTCTTAAGCGCCTTCTTTGGTGATTGTATATAGGTTTTTCTGGTTTCGGAGTCAAATTTACACATGACGTCAGGGATTTCTGTGATTAATCAACCGCCAAATCAACAGTGATATGACAAGCCAAATTTTGGCACTTAGCTATTGCAAATAGCCATGAATGAAATGATGAAAAAGATTTCAAACTACCTTATTAAAAACACTCAGTCCGAATTTCTTTTATGATCTGGCTGGTTTAATTGCCCAATTTTAGCCTGAAGTTTTTGATGTAGACGACAAGATAGATTATAGACAAAGATTTTATTTTAATGCACTGAATAAATAGGCCGAATGGTGGTTGTGAGGAATCCTTCCGGTGCCTTTCTTCGGTGAAATGGCCGCATGCGACTTCAACCCTGGTTCGGCTCTTCTTTCTGTGCAGTATGCCATTAACATAATCGGCACTTTTACTTCCCATGTCTATGAAAAATTCCCACAGCAGTTTTCATGCTGTGGTGGTTTTCGTGAATTTGATTACCACGAATTTGTGATTGCACATTCTGGACCATGTGATCTCGAGCAACCGATATTTTTTGCCGCATATGGCGATTGCACGGCAACTGAACTGGTCTCCCAACCTTTTCTCTTCCATATCAATCTTTTCATTCTAACAGAGATGTCATACGAACTATTTGGCAAATGAATCGAAACATAATTAGCAATTTTGAAAGTACTTTTTTACTGACTCTGACAGAATGCGTCTTGACGTGACGGAATCATATTGAAAAAGATCTTCTTTCAGGATGTTCATATACATGCAATCTGTCTTTTCCATCTAAAACAACTGCAGGGTATTTTTTCTGGAGGAGTCCAACCTTTGGCTAGATAACAGTGAAGGCTATTTTGGTAGAGATGGAATGTTTATCGAATAGGCCAATGAAGAATGGTTTTGTCCAAGTCATGTTGACTTATCTTGCCTCGATATATGCTGATTAGTGAAATCCTCTGAGAGGAGCCCTGAAGTCAGTTTTTGCCTCCCCGTATGCCTATATAACGAATTATTGTCTTAATAAGGCATTACCACAAATAGTCGGTGATCCCAGCTGATAGGCCAATAGAGTGCTCACTGTGGCTGGAAGCTGAACGACCTGTCGTATAACGCCAGGAAACACTAAGGAACATTCTTTGACCAGAGCGAGACGAAAAATTTTAAAAACTATAAATGAGCGTATCTTCTGTATGTGGCTTTTCCAGCCTCTATTTCTAAAATCCATCTTTCTGATGCTGGTATTCTAATCAACAGGTCGGTCATCACTGGATTGTCGTGACTGTTCTCCAAACTCCACTTGTGAAAATGGTGTTTGTCAGTGCAAGACTGGATTCGAAGGTGATGGTTTTAATTGCACAGGTCAGTCAAACGTAATGCTTCTAAATAAATGTTGTATCTACAAAAAATACCGACACACTTTTTTCTATTTGCTTTGCTTCCCTGAATGCCTAGATTTCCAATTTTCCGAAATTGGTTTTCCTTTTTCACCTTTTTTCAGAATTTCTTCTCTATTTTTATCATTTTCTCTTTTACCATTTTCCATTTGATGAGAATTAAAACGTCTTTCGTTCTAATTTTGAGAGAAATTTTTCACTAAACTTCGTATTCATTTAGCTTCACTGCACTAACTTTTGCGGAACGAATTCTGTTTTGTCAAAAGATTATCGGATTGAGGTTTAAAGGTGGTTTAGTCGCTGGTTCGATCTCGGTCCACGGGCTAACCAAACCAAGTGTCAGTAAATTGGCATCATATTTGTTTAAAAGGATTAAAACACTGACTTTGCACATCAGTAAGCCAAGCTAGCATAGGCTAGAAATTCATTCAATTGCTTTTAAGGATATGCTTGTTTGTATGTTCTTATAAACTGATAAGGGCGCGTGTGGACTAATGGTCGGAGGCGCCTGCAACACACACACCTAAGATCGATCGCCGCTCTCATGGCCCGCCAAGCCATCCATCCCTTTAGGGTCGGCAAATAGGTACTAGACTTGTCTGGGAGGACAGCAGCACTGGCTTGATGTATCGGTAGGCCATCGCGAGTCATTGTAAAGGCCAGATATGCATGCAGTCACCTCCGAACCATGCTTAATGAAATAGAATGCATGGCGCATCCCTCATGGATTGATCAACGGCAAGAGCTTTATCCTTTTTTTATTCTTTTATAAACTGATCTCATTGACATGATGCGAGGTTGGCATAAGTTTTTGTTGTTGTTGTTGTTCTTTGTTGTGGGCCAACAGCTGACGTCTCCGCGATTTCTGCTTTCTGGGCGCTTGGACGTGCTTTTTACAAGAATACCTTAACAATTCGATGAAAAAAACCACAGTATTAATGAAGAACCAACATATAAATAACGGCATGTTGATCAAAAACTACTCACCGTGTTGTTACGAGTGGGCTGCCCTCGTGTGCTTCACGAGGGATAACGAGTGAGATCCTTTCAGGTCAAAAAGTCGTTTTGTAATAAAAAGCTCAACAAGATCAGTTCATAAAAAAATATAAATAAATATATCCATTAACTATGCCGAAGTTTATAGAAAGTCTGTTTTTTTGAGTTATTAAGAGATGTACTTCAAATATACTCGAAAGCGAACGCATTGGACATCCCTCAGGGCTTAATCGTCTCTTTGAGTTTTCCCTTTTACCTTTTGACCTCACATTTTTTAATGTATTTCTACGCTACTGTTCACAGAATTATAAAAGTGGTGCGCAGAAGTACATTTTATGCAAAGGTTACTGTAGACGAAAAATTGGCCTTTCTTTTCTCTACGAAAACTTTTAGCCATCACATTAAACGCCTTCATCGAAAGCTTAGCTTCTCCGCAAAAATGTTTAAAGAAAATAGGAATAGATAGTATAGAACTCTCGAGAGCATTTAGACTTTTTTTTAATGTGCTTTGAAATTGTTTTTTCCCTTAGACTCTGCTATACACCCAAGCAAGCATCTCATCTCTCTTTGTCTTCCTCTCATCTCCATCTTCTTTCACTCATGGGTGACCCGGATGGTGTAGTGGTGAAGTACGCTGCTTCCCGGTAAGGACAACAGCGCGTGTTCGTTCTCCCCTGCATACACCTGTGGTCCGGAGTTTTGCAAATATCTCAGCATTTCATACGAGTTATAATTCGAAACATAACCTGCCATTAAGAAGAAAAAGGCAGTGAATAAAAGAGTTAAGGCAGTGCTTATTGTTACACATGAGAACACCTTAACCCAAATATAGAAGAGAAATGTTTTCAGACGTTAATGAATGCCTTCGAATGCCATACACTTGTGATAAAAATGCTGAATGTCTGAATCGCGAAGGTTCCTACATTTGCACTTGTTTGTCAGGTTATGCAGGAAACGGCTACAACTGTACTAAGACAAAAAGTGAGTGCAACCAATATCGCTTGTTGAATTAGAGGTAATAAACAACTCCAGAAAAGTAGATATTCCTGTTCATTATCGGATGTATTAAGTGTGTAATCGGCACTGATGCATAGTTCTCATCAGACTGTTTTGATTATGTCTACGAGCTCGAGTGTACCATACAACTTATAGATCGCAATTTACTGAGTCCTCAAAAAGTTTTCGTAAGGTCTCTTTGCACTACCACTTAAAAATAAATTACCTGGAGGCTTGAATAGTTCGCTGCACATTATGCAAATTCCACTTTTTAAAATCGTATTGTTCCTACTTGGCCGCCGGTTTGTTCCCACGTACCAGGCAACTCAATCCTTCGTTCACTCCTATGTCGGCGAATTCTTAACAAACTTCTCTGAAAAGAAGAATAGGCAGAGCGAATACATTGGTAGAGACATAAGAACACGATCTACATCATAATTGTGTCAAATCTGCTGTTTTTTAATGTTTTTCCTCAACGCTTTTTATCAGATGACCATAGCGTCCTTGCTTTAAATGTACTTGAACGGCCCGTGCTCACCAGTGGTGCGAGCGTTGGCATAATCAGCATTTTTCGGAGAGTTGCTGGTTAAGCCATTGTGGTTTCCTGAAATCCCGAGGACAACCTGGCCAAAGCCTGCCCCAGTCGTCACCACGGCAGTTAGTCGCAGCCCTTGTGGATCAGACGGAGATTTGCCGCCATGCGACTTTAATACCAGGACGGTGGTGGATCCTGGTATTGGTTTGCTTTTAGCTAGGCTTTCTGATGGAAACGCCGGACGCCTTCTCAGCTTGAGAGACCCTACCGGGGGACGAATCTCCCCGTTGTACATCGCAGACCGACACCGAGGAACATCTCCCAGCCACGATGAGGCGGTAAACCGTTGGGAGGATTAGAATAACAAAACTTTTAAAATAAGACCTTTAGTAAAAGGTTTCACCAATTTATATCTTCTTTTCCACTCAGTCCAGTGCCTTGTTTATCTCACAATTTCGTTGCGAGCAGCTTCAATGGGGTGTTAGATTTGCCGTCAAATTTTGGTCCGGGTATTGTAAATGATCCATGACGAAGCTGCATTTGCCTGATACAGAGGTCGTAGCAGCCCGTTATACTTCTAATGTAAAATCGATCATTTTTTTGGCCGCTTTGATAGTTTGGCATTCTTCTAATGTTATAGAACACCTTTCTCTAAATAAATATAGAAAAACGGCAGTTTTGCTTCAGACAAACTCTGGTAATGGTTCTGGCTTGAATGTGATTAATTCACAGAGGTTCTTATAAGAATCTTCAACGGCCATTTGGTTAAATATTGTGCACGAAACATAACGTTGTAACATAGACATAGAGACATAAACATAGAACTAGCTGAGAGACAGGCAAAACGAATGACCCGGATGGTGTGGTGGTGAAGTGCGGTGCTCTCCGGTAAGGACAGCCCGCGTTCGTTCCTCACCGTATACACCTGCGGTCAGGAGTTTTGCAAATATCTCAGCATTATATAACGTTGTAATTTTTGTGCAGTTTTTGTCCCCCATTCCAATCTTATTTTCATCCTACATTCTCCTGTTGGTGTCTGCTGAGACCAGTGATCCATTTTTGAGAGAGGTTGAAAATGGAGGGTGTCCGAGGGGCGTGGCAGGATCTCTTATGAGTCAGAGAGATGGATGATGGATGAGTGTATAGAGATGCTTTTCTCTTCATCACCGGAAAATAAGTCACGCATTCTTGGACTAGCTTATGTGGGTCTTCTTGCTCTTTGTCTCCTATAAGGTGACCTCGTAAAAATCAGTTTCGTTCTATAGATCTATAGGCATAGATCTACACGTCCTATAGAAGAAAGTGAAGATCTGAATCTAAGTGCTAATGAAGAAAACGCTGTTGCTGTGTGTGTAGAGTCAGAAAATATTTCCACTGCATAGTAGGCTCGCTGGGTTGTTGTTTTTGTCCAGAACCATATCCGTCGCAACATAAGACTTGCCGCATCTTATCGCCTATCCACTGCTTAAGGTCGCAAACGGAAGCGGCAAGTTTTTGCGTCCCAAATTCATGTCCACTACTTCGTTCGGTTGGCGTTTTCTCTGAACACCCGAAGAAATCTTTGTAGTACTTGCCATGGTCCCAGATACAGATAGGGCGCAGCATTTGTGGAAGTGGATGGAAGTTTGACCAATTCTTCATTTATCTCGCTAAAATATTCTAACAACATAACTCCACATTTATTAAAATGTTATAGGACTAACACAAAATTCTAGAAAACTTGATACCTTTAGAAAACGTTTTTAGCTATATTTTACTTCATTATAGATGCTTGCCTGGATAAATTCGACCGAGGTTACCAAGAGACGTGTGGAGGTGAAAACTGGCGCCAGCACTTCTTTCTAGACCACGAATCAAAAATGTTAGACATTTTACCACATATACATATTTACGTTTACATACTTGTTTATTTATTTATGGGTTTATTAAATGGCTTGTAAGCTTAATGACCTGGTTGTGCTTGCGTGTGCGCGGACAGCTTTCTGTAAATTAAATCCAGAGAAGAAACTACAATTGCTTGACTAGAAAATATTAAAAATATGACGCAGTTATTGTGATCTAGAACAGTATGAGCCAGGTTACTATTCCTAGAGCAGCGAACAGGCTACTCCATAGGTAAATATAACTCTCGAGACCAAGCTATTCGCGCAGGCAGTGGACAACAGGAAGAAATAATAATGGACCTCTTAGGAAAAGTTTATAGCTCAGTGGCAAGACGAATGATGGTTTTCTAAAATTGACGAATCGGCTATCAGTGGGAGCACGTGTGATAAATTGTCAAACGACTTAAAAAGGCAATAGCGTTCTTGTTTTATTTAAACATAAATTACAGCTCTGTATTCCATACTCCCGAGAATACTCCTTGTCTCACACCCTTCAAAGAATATTTGGAAATACTAAGAGCACTTTCATCCTGCTCAGATCGGAAAAATAGTTGACTTTTTAGAGGGGGTTTTTGCAAGTTAGTTGTCCTTCGCCTTCTTCACTGCAAGACCTTTCATTTTCCACCTATGCCAGTTCTCCATGGTGCTTATCATCTTACTGCATTGCCCAATCACTTCTTTAAGTGGGGAGAAAATTCACTAAGCGCTTTGCTTCGCCACATCGTTTGCTTCTAAGTAGGAACGACTTTTCCAGAAGCTTTGCTAGAACCAAAGTGCACTCGTTCTTCATGGCCAATTCTTGATACTTATAAAGTGTTTTCATTGCCATAACTAAAACAGTGAGTTCCGAACTCTTTCGTTCAAATTTTAGTTGAGCGGTAACTATGGCACTGTGTAATGCCTAATAAGAATTTGTGCATTGAGTAAGAATTTCCTGATCGGCCACGTTTTCCATAACAGCATTAGTCTCAACAGAATCGATTAAAATAAGACACAGCGACACCTTGGATTCTTGTAACTTCGGTTCACAGCGCTTCAGCACTTGTTAATCTTGCTGCTGTGTGATTATACATAGGTCTACAAATTGGAAAAATCACACGGTCAACGCTTGCAGGCGACATACAGTAAACCGCTGAGCAAGAGTTGTTTGCTTTTCATAGAACAATACGATATTACTGACATCTCATCAGCTACTCAGCTTACCTACTGAAAATAAGCGACCGAAAAGACGAACAGTTCTATGTAAAGACTGGTGATAGATTTTCCATAAGTTCCTGACTGATCTGCATGAATATGTACCAAAGAAGTTTCTAAAAATACAGCCTCTGGGATCACAGGTCTTCCAATATCATGAAATAAAATTTTAATTGGTGAACGTGGCTCTTCAAGTGGTCACATTCTGTTTATGTCGTACTTCATTTCTTTCCTGGATGAAGTGAATGTCTCATACTGAAGTCCGGAAGCGGTAGTGTTGGTGTTCTAATAGACTCAGTTCCGATGGTCGTTTCAGATAACCTTTCCAATCCGCGGAACTCCATCTAGTCCTGCTGCCTTTTCTTCTCCAAATCATTCTCAGATCTCCTCCAAAGTAGTCTCCAGAAAACAATCAGACATTCAGTTTCTAAAAACCTTGGCGTTGAAGACGACAACTTTGCAGAAGAGTATTGTTTTCTATATTCTTCCCAATAAGCATAGATATTGGTGAATCCGTGTTGTTTATTTTCAAAAATGGTATAGGTCTACATATATTTACATTTATTTCACCATTAGTGTTTGATTTAAACTGTTGGCTTCTAAAACGAATCGATCTTCACAGGAAAGCGCCAGCAAGAGTTGGCACAGACTCCAATAACTCCTCAACGATTGCGTGTTCCGAGACAAAGTTTATTTTTTCTGCTTCACTAATGGCACTTGTTGAACAGCATGACTCCGCATCTTTCCATTGACAAGCATATCATATTCATATCAGGTTATATCAAGACAAGACCTCAATCAAAAGGAAGAACAACTGTGGAGAGTCCACTTGGAGCCCTCCGGCTCTGAAAAGGGCGATTTTTATTAACCTCGTATCGGCTTATTAATGAGGAAGTGCATGTTGATCTATCATGGCGAAGTTAAAGGAAAGTCGGTTTTTGAAATATGATAAAATACTGCTTTTAATATCAATGTGGTTACGTTGTAACAATGGAGGCTGAAAAAACTCTTGAAGGATTACTCTCGGAAAAGACGTATAAGGAAAAAGTTTACCATACATTGTCGTGCACTAGTAAAAGCTTCAAATTTAATTTTTTGCGTCTTTATTAGTTACTTGATTATTTGGATGGCCCGTCTTCACTAGTTTTGTTGGCTCCAGTACCACTTCCATTTTTTCGGAGTTTTGCTGGTCTAGCCATTGTGGTTCCCTGGAGTCTCTCCAAAGTCTGCCCACGTCGCCACCCTTGTGGATCAGAGGGAGATTTGCCACCATGCGACTAGTTCGATACCAGGACTGTGGTGGATCCTGCTATTGGTTCACTCTCAGCTGAGAGACCTTACAGAAACCCTGGACTCCTTCTCAGTATAGGAGGGTTTGCTGGTGGGATGAGTGACGCCTCTGCACGTCAAAGCCGGACACTCAGGAACACCTCTCAGCCACGATGAGGCGGTAAACCATTGATAGGGTGTTCTTATTACTGTTACATTATCCTGTAATTATTTGGATTCTACCTTTTAGTTAAAAAATTGTGTTGCTAGAATTGTTTTACTGCAAAATATGAATTTTCGTTGATATTAAGTATTGAGAACTTCTATTAAGACTTCCAGATGCCAACAGTTTTGGTACGACGGATGTCATGGACGATCACGTAATATTTTCCCTGATCTTGAAACGTGTGAACAGATGTGTGAGGCTACGAACGTTTTGACCAGAGCTGGTATGTCCGTAGAAATCGAACTTGTAAACTGTAAAATCGAACGAACTTGTTAGAAAACAACCACAAGGATGCTGAGATACGAATAGATCTCGGGGCTTTAGATGGGCTTCGAACGCGCGATTACTGTTTCTCGGGGAGCCACATGTAAATGTTTTTTTTGTAATATTAAATTTATGGCCTTAACTTGAGGTCACGTTAGGGATAAGAGATGTTCCAGTTACGCTTATTAGCAACAATTATAGCCAAAAAAGAAAGGAATTTTTGAAATCAAACTATGGATTTCTCATCGACGTCTCTTCTTTTCTTTGCGTTACTCAACAAAAAGGTGGCATTTCTAATAAAGAGGAAGAATTTGAAAGCAAGGAATGAGTACAAATAAATAAGGCGGTAAATAGAAGTTAAACATCGTGATTTCGAATGCAGCTTCAGCCAACTGATTTCCATTCCGAATTATACTTTCCGAGCATTTTTGTTGACAGAGGATTGCTGATAGCACCGTTAGGCTAAAAAAAAAAGTGGACGAGCAAAATGCAAGGCAAAGACGTCAGTTGGTCTCGTGGATAGCACATGAGCTCCCAGAAAAGCAATCGCTGGCTCGAAGCCTTAATAGGATTTCGAGTTCTGCTCTTATTATAGCAATCTTCTTGTTTTATTTGACATTATACCTTAAAAGAAAAGTAGAATAGGCAGTAAATAAAATGGTTAAAACACTACATTAGAATAATGAGCATAAGGGACACGAGTGTCCAAGTGTTTAAAGGCGATGTGTTTTAATACACAGTTCATCGGTTCACTTTTTCTTCCTGGCTTCCCGGTCTCGGAAAATTCGCATGACACCTTTTTAGGATGATAAAAACACTGATTTGATATGTTTTTAAATTGTTTAGCTTGCACGAGGTTGATATACACACTTATTTCGGATAACGCTTCGACGTCTTCGTCTTTATCAGAGCCGTTGATCCGGGCCGATGTTCCACAGTTGTTCGTCTTCTCGATGTCTATGCTAGCTGATAATAACACCGACTTTTACAGGATGGACCCTGGAAACAACAACTTATTATAAACGAACAATCACTATTATCGACAATCAGCGTTCTGTATAAAACACCACCGCCGGCTGAGTATGGCTTATTCAAGAAACGGTTCAGTGAGGAAGATTCCGACTCGATCCAAAAATAAGACGCCACTTTGAGAAGACGAACAATTGTGGACCATTGACTTGGAGGACTATCGAATCGCTCTATCGCCTCTGATGAAGACAACGACGTCGAAACATTGGCCAAATAAAATTTGTTTATCAATCTAATGTAAGTTCAACAATTTAAACACATACTAAGTTGATACTCCGGTAAGACCATGTTAGTAATTGTATAGGCCTTAAAAAAATTTAAGGATGCATAATTGAACCGAATGAATGGCACCTCTCTACATGAATCAGCACCGAACGTTTGATCTTTATGAAGCCGTTAAGGTCACCAAGAGTTGTAGTTGTAGATAATTGGTACTCAAAAACAGAAGACATGGAACCAGACATTCACGTGGCACCTGCTGTGCAACTTATCTCAGAGCTAGCCCGAGCAGACATTACTAGAGTAACTAATCGTTGATGTGGTCAGCCTGAGCTACCCAGTGGGGTCCACTACCTCCAAGGATAGCAGAGAAAACACCGAAAAGTTTATCACGCATTCATAAACTGCAAGTGACTACAGTTCGAAAAATTCGTTCGGTATTCCACTTCATTCTATTCGACACCTCGTGATTCCCAAGATTCAAACATCGCAAGAGATCGCTGTATTTTGAACACCTAGTAACTTGGCGGTACCCCTTAAAAACGTCACTGAAGCATCGTTGTAGTCTTTGGTTTAGATGGTGCTACTCAGTTCTATGCCTCGAGTTCCATGAAGATTTGTTGAACAGATTTCGATTCAATGCAACCTCGTTCCGATTTACTGGCTCATTCCTATCCAAGGCTTGTTGCCTGTGCAACAAATGATAGTGGTAAATTTTGCAGTAACTCCCACGACCGACTTTCTATGAACCTCGGCATCGATCAAGTAATTCTTCGTACCCTTGTTGAGCAAACGCGAGGTGTTCTTTTTATTCTTTATTCACGAATAAGCTGACGTTTCGGCGGATTTCGCCATCCTCAGAGCCTGGAAAGGTCAAGTTGACAGCAATCTATTCGGACAAACATCTCCATGACCAAGAAAAAAAACGCTAAACCAAGATTTCAATCACATTGAACACAGAGCTTTTGCACCCTCACCGCTTTCTATGAGGTTTTCCCTGAGTATGTCGCGTAAAGACCAACCGCACAGAATACACACGAAAGCATAATGTGCCTCTCCCATCAGAATAATAGGGCTATATACTGCCCAATATCATGCGTGATAATGAGGCATTCTTCCCTGCGGCTCATTTTCGGATTTCTGGAATTAATACAGAACTCCTCGAGAGTTTTGCGCGCTTGTGTTCTCGATTATTGTGCGAGGATTGTCATCCCTACTTTAAAATTTTCTCCGTTATGTCTCTGCGTCCTCCGCGTGCCTAGTGGAGTATTTGGTTTAAGTTTACCGACTAGGTGCTCTTTCCTGCGGACACAGAAGAGTTTGTCCGTTTCGCCAATCTATTCGCCTCCGCACGCCTTACAGGAGACTAGATAAACTGCACCCGAGCTCATGCAATCGCCGTCTCTACCATTAGGGCAAATTATGCAATTTTGCCTTTAACATAGACGGTCACACATGCGATTACGAACTAGCTGGCATCTTAGAGTACTCGGCGGCATTTCAATTATGGTTACCGAATTCTCCAGATCCGCCTTTCTTAAGCAGTGTTTTATAGCTGCACTTACATCATTTGAGATGAAGGGTAGGATAAACGGGACCCTTCTATCGCTAGAGTTGTCGTTTGGAGGCCTACGATTTCCTCTACACCTATTCTGAGCTACAGTTTCGTAGCCATTAGAAACGGCTATTTGCCGTGCCAAGTTCCGGGACTCCTCTCTCTGCTCTCTTCCCGTGCACACGTTGGTTGCTGTTCGAAACATGTTTCTTATAAGCGCCCTTTTCGTGTGAGAGGGGTGAAAGGAGAGGTATTGAACCAAGATGTTTTTACCACTTAACTTTCGGTACCACTTTTTAACGTAGCCATTTTCTGATAGGCTAATTTGGACGTTCATGAATGGAAGCCAATTTTCTTTCGGTTTCTCTCGAGTGAACTTGATGTGCTCTGACTCTTCATTCAATAACTCGAAACATTTGTCCATTTTCTCTTGTTTTGAGCAAAGAACAAAACAGTCATCTATCTATCTACAAGAGAGCAGCAGCCCGAGGTCAATCACCGGTGCTTCCACCTTAGACATAAACGCAATGGCAAGACTTGATGCCAGTCGTTGTCCCATTGCCAACCCTCCATTTGAGCGTAGTACCTTCCGGACTATCTGAAGATTGAGCAGCTCAGGCATTCTTTTAAGAGTGACATCAACTGCTCTGTGATAAAACCATACATGTTTATTTCTTTTTCGTGTTGTATAAGGAGTTCGAATATGGCTTGCATTGCGGGGTCATTCGACACGTTTGTATAAAGGGCAGTAACGTCGAAGGATTCTATCCATCGCGTACGCGCTACTGTGCTGCGCAGTATGTAGACGATCCAGAAACATTTGGGTATTCGTAAGATGGACTAGAATATGTTTCAACAACTTGTTAAATATTAGGATTAAAAACCATGTTATCCTCTTTGTCGGCCCGTCTACGCAGCTAATGATAGGTCTAACCTTAAACAATGATGGATCGGTAGATGCAAGATCATCGCTGGATACTAACTTATGAGTTTTTCTAAGTACAAGACGAGACATGTCGGCAAGTCAACTTTTAGTTGAGAGATAACTGATGGTTTTAAACCAGCAGCCCTTGCCATTTTGGCCCAATCGTGGTTCAATTTTCGGTATTTTCTTTTAAATTCCTTCTCAGATGATAGGCGATGAAGTGAAGCATCTTCAAGATGCTTTCTCGTTATCTCAACATCTAACTGATGGAAAAATTCGGCAAACTCTCCACCCTTATCACTAACGGATAGTCCCATGTTTTTCAACTTCATCACTCTCGTATCTCTCGCATACCACGTTTTTGCACTTCAGTGAGGTTTGAGCTCTATCTTTTCGCACGATAGTTATTAAGGACTTTGAGAGTTTCATTCGTAAGCATCCGAAATATAACATCAACTTCATTATTAAGCTCTTGTTGTTTAAAGAACGGTTGAGGAAATGGTGCTATTGGTAGGGCCCCCAATTTGTTTTTCGCACCAATTTTTGAGGGCTAACCGTGTCATGAGGCATGACTGAGTTGTTGAATGAACAGTCAAAGTATATCAAGTTCACCCGAATGAAACCGAAAAAAAATGGCTTCCATTCCTGGACGTCCAAATTAACCTGTCAGAAAATGGCTACATTACGAAGTGGTACCGAAAGCCAAGTAGCAAAAACATCTTGGTTCAATACCTCTCCTCTCACCCCTCCCACACGAAAAGGGCGCTTGTAAGAAACATGTCTCGAAGAGCAACCAACGTGTGTACGGGAAGAGAGAAGAGAGAGTCCCGGAACTTGGTGCGGCAAATAACCATTTCTAATGGCTACGAAAATGTAGCTCGGGATAGGTGTAGAGGAAATCCTAGGCTCCCAAACGACAACTCTAGCAATAAAAGGTCCCGTTTACCCTACCCTTCATCTCAAATGATATAAGTGCAGCTATAAAACGCTGCTTAAGAAGGGCGGGTCTAGAGAATTCGGTAAACGTAGTTGAAATGCCACCGAGTGCCCTTAGGCGCCAGCTGGTTCGTAAGCGCCTATATGACCGTCTATGTACAACGCAGAATTGCATAATTTAGCCTAATGTTAGAGACGGTGACTGCATGAGCTCGGGTGTAGTCTATCTGATCTCATGTAAGGCGTGCGGAGACGAATACATTGGCGAAACGGGCGGGCACCTCTGTGTCCGCATAAAAGAAGACCTAGCCGGCAAACGTAAACCAAATACCCTACTAGGCACGCATAGGACCCAAAGACATAACGGGGATGAAGTACGTGTCACGAACCTCGCACGCGAATCAAGAACACAGGCGCGAAAAACTCTCGAGGCATTCTGGATTAATTCCAGAAGTCCAAAAATGAACCGCAGGGAAAAATTCCTCATTATCACGCGTGATATTGGGCAGTATATAGCCCTTTTATTCTGTTGGGAGGGATGCGTTACGCTTTCATGTGCCGTTGTTTTCAAGCGACATACTCAGTGGAACCCTCACAAAAAGCGGTGAATGTGCAAAGCTGTGTTCAATATGATTGAAATCTTGGTTTAGCGTTTTCTCTATTTCGTTATGGAGGTGCTTGGCCGAATAGATTGCTGTCAACTTGACCTTTCCAGGCTCTGAGGAAGGCGAAATGCGCCGAAACGTCAGCTTGTTGGCCAATAAAGAATAAAGATAACACCTCTCGTTTGTTCAACAAAAATACGAAGAATTAACTGATAGTGGGTTTCAACCATGTGCGTGCGTTTCGAACTTGCGTGGCCTCTGAGAAAACCCACTTAATCATCAGAAATCGAATATATATCACGATGTCAATCACTTTACTTCGCCTAACAATTGACTTTCCTTTTTCCTCACTAATACCTCACCTCGGTTGAGAAACTAGCCCAGCCTCATGCCTTCCTGCACTTTTGCTCTTACACGTTGTCTTCTATTCCCTTCGATTTTTCACTCCTTACATCCACAACTACCTTTATCTTTTCCCTTGTATACAATACTTTTGAAGTTTTTTCAAACATTTTATTCTTCAAGTCGCTCACCTTTCATCTTTGTTTTTCTCTCTTTTTGCTCCTACCTACCACTACTTTTACTACTTGTCACGTTTACGATGAAAAGGAATATTCAAGAGAATGCAATAAAAGCTAGGCTTCACCTTATTCTCTCGAAAAAAGATGAGACACTGTAAAAAAAACTGAGGTTGTGGATTACGTTGAGGTAGACAATGAATTGTTATATGTCGAGCTCAGCTGTAGCCATTTCCGACATTCAACACTGTTCTTCCTCCCTTCTTTTCGCCTACCTTTTGCATATTTTCTAGACTTCTCATTAATCTCCAAGTTGCGAATTCCTCCATGCAAGGCAGGTTAGAGATTTTTCTCTGCACTCACCACTACTCACTCGCGTAATTAAAATGAAGAGAATTTAAGCAATTATCTTGAAATCTCGTAAGTACTGATTATATTGCGGGATATCATCCAAAAGTGGTTGGTTCTCTCTGATTCGCCTACTTAAACATTTCATTCGTTATTGATGGCAACGAATCAAATTGTGGGTGGCGACTGGTTGAAGAAGGAGACGGCATTGCCGCTGCCGCCCGCGTTTCCGCTTATCCCCGCGCCTTCATCGCCTCGGGGAATTGGGCCTTCATTCGCATAACAGCTAGAGCGAGCGAATCAATGCTTGGGTCGCTCCTGAATGCTGTTGTGCCCTTATAGATCACCATCTACAACGACCATTTTTGATTGAATTCAGCTCATCTAATATGAAATGTCGCCATCGATCGTCCGTTCGTCATCAATGCAGTCGTCATCTGCCCAATCTAACCTCTACAGTAGTAGGGTGTCGAACGATGTCGACGGCAACAAAATATCAAAAAGCCCGAACCGATTTATTCATATAAATTGTTCTGCCACTATCAATTCATTGCTGTGGTGGGCCTCGGCTGTGCTACAAATTCTAATATTCACTACTCCACCTTTAGATTTTCGAATAGTCTACCTCATTACCCATTTGTCACTCATTGCTTCTCGTTCAGAAATATGCTGGGACAAGTTCGATGTGAACTATCGCAATCAATGCTTAAACGGTACGTTCATTCTCGTGCTATATTTTTGCCTTTATGAATCGGCCAATTGCTTAGAACAAATCGATCCTATCGATTTCACCATGATCCAAACGTGGTACTGTATTGGTTAAACAAAAGAAAATAAAGAATGGAATGGTGCTGACTTTCTACGTTTCAAAAACTCAGCAGATCAGACATACAGTTCTAGAACGTAAGCATCGTGTAATTTGTTAGCACGGATTTTCTACTTTACATTCCAAATACTGTAGAATCGTTATGCTTTACATATGGTTACAACACGAAACAAAACTATAATGCCGTACTTTTGACACTTTTTGAGTGTGATGTTTTAGAAACCGTAGGAAGAGTGCCAAGTATTGCCCGTTAAGGATATTTTCCTCTCTCCATGAAATTTTGGGTAGGGCGGCCACCGAGGAAATATGCCTCGCAAAGGCTAATATATTACTTCGATTTATTAATGATCGAATGACTCATTTTTTTTATTCTTTGATTTCTTAAGAAGGAATTTGCATTAATCAATATGCATGTTAAACACTGTGAAGAAGCTCATTCTGTTTTATTCCTTTCTATGGGAATGTTGACGGATATCAACATCATAGAGCTGAAATTGAATTCTATACTACCGATAATTGAGAATTCCATGACTACATTTTAAGGTCATTGGAAACAACGGTATTATTTTGATCATGCCTCGTTAACATGCAGACAATTCTGGTACGACGGATGCCGATCGGATTCAAGAAATATGTTCGAAGATCTGCTAACCTGCCAATGGTTGTGCGAATCACAACCAATGTATAAATCAAGTAAGATCTTAAATGCTTTATTAAAAATTGGAAGCGCACAGCTTAGTGATAAAGAGGGCTGATGGATACAGTACACATATTGTCATTCGTTCGATCCTGCGTCCCCAAAAGAACCGAGCCATAAAATCTGTCAGAGTCGGTGTACAAAATTTGTCTCCGAAGATAAAGCCCAGGCTTCATAAATTGGCAAACCCTTGTAAAGGATTATAAAGCCTTAATATGCATTCAGTCATCTCTATTATAGTTACGAATGGAGTTGAGTGCAGAATGCACTCTGAGGCGTTGATCAACGCCGAATGCATTGGCTTTCGATCCCTTTATAGAAAAAGTACTCAAAGTTGTGTGAAATAGCTACCCACTTTTTGTCGAGTTCTAGTTTCTTTATGGATTTAAGTGAATCAGCACGTAGAATTTGGTAGTCAGTGGTCTGTGCCAAAAATACGGTTGCGATTGTCAGCAAAGGCATCCGACTTTTTTCTGGATTGTTATGCCCTTTCAGTCTCCCACATAACCTTACTGTCTCCTTATTTTTACGTCTCCATCCTATGACTACATCGTAATCTTCGTTTTGATGTTCATCTTTTTTTCGTAAGCATATTTAGGCTCTAACAAGTATACGTTTCTTCACCTAGCCCTTTTCGACTGGCCTTAACTGCTTCTTTGCTGCTTTAGTTTTCTTACACTCACTCCTATTCACCACTGCGGTTTTTTTTCTTTGTCGCTGACTTTCTTCCTTACTGTTCTTCATATCTTTCTCCCATACCTTAGCTGCTGTCCATACATCTCATACCCATGGTGTATTTTTTCATTCTACCTTCTCATATTCTTTACTTCGTATCCTTTCCCTCTTTGCCGTTTTGTGCACCTTTCTTTCTTATATATCTCTTTCTCCTTCTGTATATTGCGTTATATATCTCTTTTTCAATAGCCCTCTTTTTCTACATCTTTCTCGTTCTAATCTCTACCTTCCTTTTTCCCGTTTTTTTGGCTTCTTTTTCGTACACCGTTCTTCTTTTACGTTTTTTTGTCACTATTGCTTTCTCTCCCTTTTTTCTCCCAGTGTTTCCATATGTCTTTCTCATTCTTTTTATTTACTCAATCTTTTCTTTTTCTCGACTTCCTTTTTCTTCTCCTCGCTTGTCTCGTTTTCTTTCTTCCTTTCACTCTCATTTTTCCTCTTCTCATTGTCTCCGCAGCAAAGGTCTACACTTCTTAGCTGTCATTTTGAATTCATTTAACCTTTCTTAAGCACCTTTGCCTGCGTTATTGAAAGCTGTCCCATCAAAAGTATACAGAAGAATCTTAATATTCAGGAGCCTGCCTACAGGATTTCGATAGCCACTACAAGGACCAATGTAGTGGGGGTCGATGGAGACAACAGTATTATTTCGACAAAAGTGCCAAGGTGTGTTGAATCAAAACTGAATATTTTGTGTGATAAAGGAATAGTTTCCGTTTAAAAAAAACTATCGATTGAAATCTGTATGCTTTTTTTCTACAGTTTTATAAAACCTGAAAATCCCTCTATCATATGCCTGGTGAAAAGGATTCCGGCGGTGGGATTACGACACTATGATGTTAATTCTCCAGCTAAAATCATTCAAAAGACCAGTAAAAGGGAAGTAACGAAACAACAGATGTTCTAAAAGAAACTCGTTAGCAAAAAACAAATCGCCGATCCATAAAGGTTGCCTGGCGCTTTCCTATGGCAACCAAGAACATTTCGGCAAATGTCCTCTCTTGACTACATGGAGATTCTCGCTCGACGGTATATTCAAGGATCGATGGCAATAGTTATCTAGGCGCTATAGAAAGACGAAATTCGAGACTCTGCAGTAAATTTCAGTTAAACAACAGAGTCCACTATTACATATAAACAAGAGAAAAAGTCCCAACAAAAGTTTTCCATTGGATGAGCTATCACTTTTACCTCCCATAATCATTAATCATCAAGTGACCCCTGTGGAAATCGGTGAAGTCTCGAGTCCACTTCTAATCAGAGCCATAGTTGCCTAATACTCTCCGCTTGCTCGAAAGGTATGAAGTGCCTGACATTTGAGGTATGAAACCCTTTATTTTTACCGCTAGGAAGAAGTAAAAGATTCATGAACACAGAAATGAATCAGTGTGAGCGAGCAAAATATGAAAAATCTGCCTATATGAATGGATTTAAGGATTGAGCAATGCCGTTATTTTAGAAGTGCATATCATTTTGGTACGATGGTTGCACCGGTGAAAGTGAAAATATCTTTCAAGATGAAACCTCTTGTCTACACACATGTGAGAATCCAGCCAAAAACGATCGTGGGTTATATATTCTCTTAAAATCATTGGTTGAAAGATACCTGTTGCGTAATTTTCATTAATTTCCAAAAAACTTGAAATGGTTAAAAGTTACCCCAGTCGTTGTATTTAGTAAAACTTGTTAGAATCATAAAGATGATGTAAAATATGTGTGTCTTGTAGTGTTCTAAAGAATATATTCTTTGAATACCAGACACTTTTACAACACGTTTTTGAAGATTTTTGCTTTTTTTCCATTGAGAATAAAGTTGTGTTAAGAACTTACAGGCGAAACGAAGGGACAGCATGATGTGGTGGTGAACGCGTTAGCCCCAGGAAAGGACAGTAGCGCGTTCGGCCCCCACCGCAAACATCAGCCGTCCGGAGTTTTGCAAATATCTCAGCAACATTGTGGTTATATTTCACATAACACCCTTCTATTAAAAAAAGTACTAGGTAAAGATAAAAAGCAGCAAATGAAAACTCACGACATTGAAGTTATGTTATTTCGTGTGTAGAATTCTTTTTAGCATACCAGCAGCGGCACACTGAAGAAAGGAATAAAATGAAGGAAACACTGGCGGAGGTGAACAGTGAGTTTTTCCTTAAAATTAGGTTTAGTAGGAACATACCTAAAATGTTAACTTTTTTATTTACTGCCTTTTTCTTCTTAATGGCAGGTTATGTTTCGAATCATAACTCGTATGAAATGCTGAGATATTTGCAAAACTCCGGACCACAGATGTATGCAGTGGAGAACGAACATGCGCTGTTGTCCTTACCGGAGAGCAGCGCACTTCACCACTACACCATCCGGGTCACCCGGGTCCGGAGTTTTGCAAATATCTCAGCATTTCATACGAGTTATACCTAAAATGGTTGAATAGATAAGATAGATGGAAAGAAGACCGAATTTATTCACACGCACTGCCAACTATTTCCTCTGCTATGAGGTAGAGCAAGCAAGAGCAAGGATTCTATTGTCCATAGACAAACCAAGGGCAGCACTAAGGCGTTTTCTCTTTTGGGGCTTATATAATCTCCCTATAGGGTCTTTCATTTTTACAGTTTTCCGTTCGCTGATATCCACCTCGTCTAGCTCTCCTACGAAAGTCTTTGGGCAGGTGTCTTCATAGCCTTCATGAGTAGCGCTGTAATATCGTTTGCCGACTCTGAACAAAATCTCATGACATTTTAAACTATTTGATTATAGCATTTCAATAGGGCCAAGATGTAGAATGTATTTTGCTTATAAACAGAGTGTGTAGCGCAGTAGTTCGAAGTGCCTTGCAGAGCACACATGGTATATGATTTGGATTTACGCCCTAGCAACAGAGCCTTGCAACCCACCGGGATCAGCATATTGGTTGGTCTCAAAGGATAAAGCTAACAACATGACACATCAGTAGGTGACCACAAGTATGTACGGTTGAATATGCACCTCCACAATGCTTGACTTTGTCCGATACATGAAGCATTCCTAAGAGATTGGCCAATAGCAAAAGCTCTTTTCTTCAATTTCGCATGACTTATAGCTAATACAGGAAAGTTTTAAGTCATCTCCAATAGCTAAAGAAAAGCAGTATTCAAACCTAAACGATGAACTCACCTATATCTTAAAGAAAACACGTACTCGCTTCTTGGTGAGCCAACCAGCTGAAGGAAAATCGAGATCGTCCAAATGTAACAGTTAAGTTTTATCACAGCGCTTTATTCGGAAGAAATGGTTCTGTACATAGCGTGTTTGACACCGCTAAAATCGTCACAGCGTTTTGTTAAAATGAATGGCTAAATTTGTCTTTTAAGCTTCCAACAGTACTTTTTCCTTCGACGGCAATCAAAGTGGAAATGTAGAGTTTACCATGAGATGTATGGTTCTCATCGAAGTCTTCAAATTTTCTCTACTTATCACATCATGCGCCCTCATCTTCTGATTCATATTTATGTCATGTTCTTGTACAGAAGTTTTTTGTGCTACTGTAATAATCCATTTTACTCATGACATACGAAAACTGACTTCTGACATCGGAAAATGACTACGGTCTGAAAACTTCAAAATGAGGTAAACGCTAGTGTGGCTTTTTGAGACCTCGTTGTAATTTTTCTACGACAATCAACTCAATCAAACGCCACCGTTACTGTAACTGCAGCTGATTTTACTCTTTAGAACAACTTTGTTGTCTTCTTCTAGCACATCTGCCACATACCTTGTGAAAATTGATTTAAAGTGACCTTTGTTGAGAAAGGTCATGAAAATACGTCTTTTTCAGAGCCAAATTTAACCGATATCTGTGCAGTGTCAAATCCATGTCGTAATAACGGTATATGCGTGTTTGTGTGGAAGAAAAACACTTATTACTGCAAATGTGAGGATGGATACACTGGACAAAACTGTACGGAAAAAATCGGCAAGTGTCTTTCTAATAGTTCATCTAGCGATACTCAGTTGGTTCCTAACAAAAGTGACCAACATTGAACAAAAACAACTTTAAGCTGTTTTTTTTTACTTCTTATATCATATTTCTTCCAAAAATCTTTCTTTCCACTCCATAAACAGCTGCCTAGCCACCTCTCAACAACTACGGGAAAAACAACGAGTATTAAAGAGCTCCTTTATAGAATAAACAGTATGAAAATTATGTCAGTATTGAAAATTATGATGTTTTGTGCCTAGTAAAGGCACCGAATTTGTGAACAGTTCGACATTTCAGTAAATAGTAAACCTAACTGAAAATCTGGGCCAAGGATAATCCTGAAAAGAACGCGACCTGGGGATGGCCAAGCATCTGTTTCGCAAAACTCTGGAGATAAAAATCTCCTTCAACCACTAATTGAGGGTCTGTTTAGAGCCCACAGGGCATTTGTTGAGCTCGAACTGTTCAATATTAACAAGCAACTTCGTTTTCTTACCAGAAAATCTAATGAACTGAAATACAGAGAGCCATTATATTATTCAAGCCCTCTTTACCCTTTTCACTTGCTATTTGAGGAATCTTTGGCATAGTTTTAGAGTATGCGGAAAAATGATAGAACTAACATAACAGCGCCTACAGTGGATTCGAGCATTAATAGACTTTAATTAAGAATCATGGAAAGAAACGATTTACTGTTTGGATAAAAGGTAGCCCAAAATATTATGCAACTGCAGATAGCGATCCGTGTGCGACCCATCCGTGTAAAAATGGAGCCACTTGTCTGGCAAAGGTGCAGAAGGGAAAAACGACATTCGAATGCTATTGCACCATCGGTTACGGTGGACCACATTGCGATCAAAGTAAGAAGCACCATACATGACAAACATAGACTGTATAGTTCATGTTTTTCAATTGCACTTTGTACTTCGCATATACATGTAGTGGCCTATGCAGCAGTTCTGTACCCAAAAGAACAGTTGAGTGTACCGTTAATTATTATGTGAATAGAAGCAGCCCTTCCTACCGTGTTGCGTCTGTGTTAATAAACTCCTTATAAACTTCTACAATGTTTAGCCAAAATCCAGAATGAGTTCGGAGCCGTTAAGATTTTTCTAAAAATCTGTATTCGCAATACCAACGAAAATTTCTCATCAAATTGGTGTTCTTCTGTAAACTACCGTTTATCCATTGTTCATCTTTCGGCAGTTTTTGATTTGTAGGGCCATGCGATGTGAATCCATGCCTTCATAATGGTACATGTCGCACAACTGCTGGATTGAGTTCTTATTTCTGCGATTGCAAAGAAGGATTTGGCGGAAGAAACTGCGATATTGGTAAGATGTTGCAGATTTGCTTATTAGTCTTAAAACTGCATGTATAAGAAATCCAAGCATAGAAGTAGAACGTTCTTTTTTTTATTCGTCTCAAATGAACTGCAGAGCAAAAGATAATGCCACTTAATAAATAGAACAAGAACTGAGTGAGTTATATGTCCCTTCTGAGTCGCTTGTCGGTAATAATGAAGTGTGCGTTTTTAAAGTAAAAAGCCCAAAAGTTTTTCTAAATCATCTATTCATTCAGCGATTGGATCCAAATTACCGGAAGAACGATACGGATCGAACGTGTTACTTGTTTCAAGCGGTAAAGCTGAATGGATACAAGAAATGAAAGAAAGACTTGGAGGGCAAAAGAAAACTACTCCGCCGTCAATGGCTGATGAACCGTACGAAGGTGTGTCTAATTTTTCAATTCTATTGTACTTTCCTCAATTATACGAGAAAACGTGACACCGTCCGTCCATGGCACGGTACTGATTCGTCCTCTCACGCACTCTCCGAGCCTCTCATCACTAGGGAGTCTGGAAATTAGCACCAAACTTGTACGGGTCCAATTCCCTCTGTCAAATTCAACTAGGAACACTCAAGTATAGTTATCCTAGGACTGAAGGACTAATCTACTTGACTAAAACTCAATGGCATACACTACACGCGCCTCCAATGACATTTATAAAGAAGACAAAAATCTTCAAGCAGCAACCGAATCAGTTCAAAGATTTCCGTAGATGCGGTATTAGAGAAAACGAGTGGAATGCTTGAAGTCCTCTGATCCGCAAAGTATACCTAAACATTAGTCATGTAAAACAAGTAAATAAAAATACGAAAAAACTTTTGCGAATCTATGTTTTTCTTCGTTAGTTTGCTACAATGGAAGAAAGTACGGCAACGAAAAGAAATAGTCCAGATCAACTGACCACAACAGTGTTCTTTGCCACACAAAGTCATCTACAGCTCCAAAAAGTTTTTAGGCTTTTTCTTTCAGCATAATTAGCTGTATGGTGAACCTTGCCTCATCTAAAGTGCGATTCCAAACATTCTCGCTGGTGGTTTCGTTGTCATGTAACCATCCATCACCCATAAATACAGTTGGGCTCATGAATAGCTTGTAGTGCCGTTTTGAGGATTCATCGTCTTTTCTTCTGATTCGTTGACATGCTTATGCTTCTTGAGCGCAATTTTCTTCGAAATTCCAACTTAATCGTGCATTGATGTGCCCAGGTCTTCACCACAGACAGTCGTAGGCCCTTTCGATTTGAACGGAATATTGTCTTTTCGCGACTCGAATTACTCTAGCACGACAAGTTCGCATTATTCTTTTATGAACTGGAAGATTCGACATTTATTTGGCCACTGTATTTAGTCTCTCTGTGAGCTAGTACCTTAACAAAATCTTGTTATACACGGTATATTTCCAATACAGACTTCAGCATGGATAGTTGACTTCCTAGTCTTTTAGCAAGTAGATGTTTACAAATCTTCCTTTTGGCTAACGTTTTGGAGCCACCCTCCAAGTCTTCTTTAGAGCTGCGATTGTTTGAGTGAAGTGTGCCCAGCAATTGATTCTCGAGGTCATCGCGGTCGCCTTGGATGAAGAACGTTACTCGTCAGTGCCCTTTTAAACGGTTCTTGCCTCTGAAATGAACTGATTTCATCCAGTTCAGTTCTCGATGTTCCCTATGTGTATATTTTCGATTGGCATAATTTGAAAATGAGACCTTGTATTAATACTTTTCCTGACTAGTTCAACTGTTCTACCTTTACTTCCACTTAACTTCACTTATTACACCACCTTTTCCTATTTCTGATGTCTGTGCACGTCCTCATTGGCATTACTCTACCGAGTCAGTTGGAAAGATTAGTCTGTGATTATCATTCTCGAGATATTACCTTGCTGTCAGTTTCGAATTCATTTGCTGTGTTATTGGAAGCTCTTTAGATTTGGAGAGAATAGCACTTTGAGCTAAATTTTTTTCCACTAAGTGTTATATTTCCAGTAAAATCATATAGGTCTTTTTCATTCCCTTATTAATGTGATATGCAGAAGCAGGTACAAAGAAACTCGGCCGGGAAGAACGTGAGGAACAAGATGCTGAAAGTCGTGATAAGGATGAGAAGAGGATAGATGCCGAACTTAGTTACAGTGAAAATCACAAGACAGCAGTATCTGATGGTCATAACGATGAGACACAACTCAGTGACAAAGAACCTCTAGAAAAGAGCAAAATGCCACCTTTTTCTTTTTCGTCCTCCAACAGTTTCTTACCTCTCTCGTTGCTATGTCTCATAGTCTATCATTTCTTTGACAAATATAGACAGTTGCCTTAATAGTTCATATCTGACGGATTCATGATATTTGTCCATGTACCGAAATACATCAGTAGGTGTTGTGATCTTGGAAAACTCTCGGCCGCGCTTCTATTACAATATGCTCGCCTCTGGTACACTTTGTGCTTTTGTTAGGCAAAAAGCTAATCGTTCCTTTCATGTTTCCTTTATGAACGGGACAGTTGTCTGATATTGGTGTATGCAATTAAAGGTTTAGTAGGATTCTAAGCATCAGAGTTTTACTTTTAAAAGCGGATAGTCGGAATGGAAACTTTTAACATAACCAGTCAAAAACACTTGATTAGAGGAGAACAACGAAAACCGAGCAACTGTTTCTTCGGGTTCTCCTGAGCACATTTTGCACTCAGAGATGTGAAGAGGAAAGTGATATAGATGCTATATACCGTATTCTACGTGCCGATAGCTTTTCTGTAAAGAGATGTAAAGTGAGTAGAAAATTATTAACGCTTTCAGTTATCACTCTGTACGTGTATTTTTGTAATATTCCAATATCTTCTTCCTATATCACTCGAATAGTAGAATAAATATGTGCGTTTTCCACTGTTACCACTGTAAGGTAATCGAATGTCAAAAAACTGAAGTGTTAGCAGAATTTCCACAGTCTAAAACATCGAGCTGCTGTATTGCTCGAAAAGTTTCACAAATGAACAGGATATGTAATAAGTTTTTCATTGTTGTAAAACAACACTGAGAACGAAAACTACTCAAACGAAATTCAGAACGGCATTTCCCCGATGGAACTATCTATTGACAAGGGTCAGATGCAAAGCTAATGGTGATGAAGACCTCAAGACGTGCGGACTTTCCCTCTGTGGGAGAAAAACTAGGCTAACCAGAACAATATACCAACGAATCGAAAATGTGTGATTTTGCACGATTCTTTGTGAGGAGTAATCAGCACATTTTAGTAACACATTAGGTACTCTGGCAAAGAGTAATGGATAAAAGATGAGGTAGCTGACGTTGATCAATCCCATTGATGATACGCCACTTAATCGACTCCATTTAGCTTGTAGAGAAGCATTGATTCGATGCATATCTGCCATAAAGTGATTTGCTGAAGGTTTATAGATGCATTAATTAAGTGTTTCCCATCCTTGCAGACAATTCATGTACGAATTCACAACGTGCTGGATTGATCCAAAGACCATCGGTGAACTGCAAGACACTATTAGCAATTATTGTAGAGTCCTCTATAATCCATTCAGAAGTAGCAACTCATCATCAAAGCATTACTTCGTCATGGTGAGACTCAAAGAATTTCTTTCTTAACTGACGTAGAAAACACTTCTAGGGAACGAAAACTGTATTCCTTGATATTAAAGCAACTGTAATCCTTCTAGTTACCACAACACGGTAATTAAAAAGCTCTCACTCACTATTAACAAATTAAGATATCTCATTCGTTATTTATTGGAACAGCATAGTACAGTCACGAGTCATTTTTAACAATAAGAACACCCGCCAGTTGTTTGAAAATGAGTTTCGCATAACGTTGTTGTTATCGCATAACGCTTCTAACTGGCTCCTTTTCAAGATTTTGTCCAAAAGCTTCGTCAAGGATTGCAAATTCATTCAATGAAATGTGATTCTGGAAAAAAATGTCTTTACTAAAACTCGATAATAGGAATGGCTGATGACAAATAGTTACTGCAACAATTTGAATTAACGGGAAAATACTGGTGAAAGCACGGATAACGAAAAACTTCTAGGTCCTGACGACGTTAACGAACCACTTCCACTTTGTGATTTCGACTGAAGCCTAAGTTTAACTGGGTTCAGTGCTGATGTGGACTCTCCAGATCAATCCCATTGATGGGTGATCGCTGATGGCACTGGTAGACAACTAGCTGGAAGAAACGCAGATCGACGGTCTCCGTAGCGCAGTGTGTATTGTGCGAGCCCCTGGGAAAGGAAATCGTGGTTCGATCTGTCCCGGGATCCAAGATTTGCGAATACCTCAGCATCGTCGTAGTTGATTTCGCATAATAGTCCGCCGTGAAAATTGCAGTAGGCAGTAAATAAAAAAGTAAACATTGTGGTCAAAAGAATCGTATGCATTTTGAGAAAAACGAAAATCGATGGTGAGATGAACTTGATTCCACTATGTATGATGCCAAACTACCGGTGCCAATCCCTTACCGAATTTAATAATATTAAAGCATTATTTCATTTCAAGCATTTCATACAAGTGCGCGATTCTTTGGAAAACGACATCTAGAAAATTGTGAACAGACTCCTGAACAAAGCAGTAACAACATTAAGAACTATAGAACTCTTGCACGAGCAAATGTTCGAACCTGTGAGGACCACATAAGACATGTTATTCAAATATGCCCAAGTGAAGGACGTGCTACAAGTCATTTTAAACCTAAGCCATAGCTTTCTCATTGAGAAGATCCAGTGATAAAAAATGTCGATGGAGGACCGATCTACGAAGAAGAACAAAGAAGTAATGAGATTAAAGCAACTGATGAAGAGTAAATGTGCCAAGAAACACTACTGCGATATCATGCTTCTTAACGAACGTCCAGCAATACAATATTAAGAGTCGATGATCCACTGCTGCGTCTCTTCTCGATTTGGTGTCATCACCACCGTTCACCACCGTAACGTGTGTGTGTGTGTGTTAGAGTTTCTCCAACAAAAGAATTCACGTACCTTCGGAGATTCAAAAATTTGAGTTTCCAAGCAGCAATCTGTGATATTTTTAGATATCTAGAAATAACTCCATGATTTGTAATAAATTAAACTGCAAATATTATAAGTGATAGAGCTGATTTGCCCTAATACGTTGCACTCAGCATCGGATTACTATTTCACTATTCTTTTAGTGCGCAAAAAGTGTGAGTTAGTGAAGAATATAGCATGCGTCCAAAATTTGCTAAGACGGTGGAGTCTACCCACTCAGACAATAAACCGCATAAGAATGAAAGCAGTTAAGTAGTGAACACCTAAGTGAGGATTAACGAAGTTACTTTTTTGCCGTTAGGAACTATTTCCATATGTTCGAAGCACACTAAACATATTCTATTTTGTAGTTGTTGCCAAAATAACCTCGTGAGTGGACTGTATTAATTCGTCCAGCACAGCTGTCCATGGACGTGGTGCTTTGTAGCTGTAAGCAAAATATCAGGCCTACCATCACTTTTTTACACTTTTTGTTCTTTCACATGTTGTCTTTTTGCGACATTAGGTAGGATTTACGCGATTTCAAGCATGTGTTGTATACAGTCACCAATCCAATGGTCCTACTTGATCACCAAAGCACTGAACGAGGACTGCGATAGTCTTCGTAACCGAAGAGTAATGAGAACTCACTAGCAACGACAGGCAAAATGAAAAACAGCAAGCACTTAATTAGAGCTCGAGCCACTCGGCGATCAGTCAGCACTAAATTGAGTCCCACCCGAGTCACTTAAACCAAGAAAGAGTTTGAGATTTGCAT